TTTACTTCCCTCTCTCAGCCTCCTGGAACCCTTCCCATTTGCAAAATATCTGTCTCCCTGCTTCCTGTCAATCCTTCATTTTGTTCTCTGTTTGTACTTGACCTGACTTAAATGAGAGGAGCCATATTATATTTAAGTTGTGGGGATGCTTTATTTCATTTAACATATTTTCCATAGGTATCCATTTTACTACCAATGTCTCGAAAACATTTTAAGCAATTCTGGTATTCTCTCTTTTAAATGTAGTGTTTGGTCATTATTAATATAATTTTAGTAAGGTCTCCCATTGTATTACTATTGGCTTTTTCTATCCTTCATCTACAACTTTCATCTATAATCCCTTTTGGAAATTCTTTAAATTGTGTACAAAATATAAGCAAACAAAATAAAAAAATGAGTATAAATATGCATCAGGTTGGTTTACCAGATGAAGATATTATATCATGTTAATTCATAATCCTGATAATTGTATCATGGCCAAAGATTATCCATGTTCTTTGGACATTAATAAAACAATACGGCAAACAGGGGAAAAGGTGGATAATCAGAATCTCAGTGCAGGATACCTGGGAGTTCTTTGTATTTTTCTTTCAATTTTACTATTAAGTATGAAATTATTCCAAAGGAAACAATTACATGGGTAAAAGAAGAGAGAGGGAGAGGGAGAAGGAGAGGGAGAGAGAGGGAAAATATGAATGAATGAATATATCTTAAGGAGTTTTGTTTTCTTCTTGGAATATTTTTATGATTCCTGGAGTCATTTTAGTCATCTTACTATCAGCTTAAAGTTGAATGTGACTGAGAATTTGAGAGGAGATAGAGAAGAAAAAATCTAGGCCCTCGTTACCAAGATGCAGCTGCATAATAGCTCAGAGTCTCATTCACCTCTGGGCTTCCAAGTTTTCTGTGAGCAAACTATTTTTATTAACTAAATCAGTAGAGGTTTATTTTGTTATCTGCTTCTAAAAGCCTTGTGGTACAAGGGCTTTGTGTTATCTTTTCAGCTATCTTACATTTTACCATCATTTTCAAGGGAATGATACTTTTTTGTGTGTGTGTGTCTGGGATCGAACTTGGGACCTTGTGCTTGCGAGGCAGGGAATCACTGAGCTAAATCCCCGGCCCTACATTTTTAAATTTGAATAACTTTCTAAAACTTTAATTTGACACTAGTGAAAGTTAACATTCAGAAAGTCTTTGACGTGGATACATGCTTGTCATCATTCTCATTTGTTAAGAAACTGAGCCTCAGAAAGTTTAGGTAACAGAGTAGTAAATGATTAAACTGAAACAAGAAATCATGCCTATTTGAGTCTCAGTCTGTCTTTTTCTACAGATGGCCATCAATGCTCTTCACCAAAAGTTTTCATTTTTTCCTAGAAACAAAACAGGACAAAGCTTCTCCAGCTTTTTAAAGTCAGTTGGGGCCATGTTAATTTCCTTGGTGCAGTGAAATGTGAACAGACAAGTGTTTTACTCATAGTCCAAAGCTTTAAGGACCACTGTATGTTCTATTGTTTCTATGTTCCTTTAACACAGAGATGGGTGTTCCATGAGTCTGGGTCTTACAGAGAGGAGACATGGAGTGCAAGATCCAGCAAAAGTGTGATATAACAGGAATTAAGAATATTGATTTTTGTTACAAACCACTAAGATTTGTACTATTAACATAGTATCTCTTAGCCTTTCATGATGGATACATTAAAAAACTGACTCTATCACTTTCCATGTCTTTAAATTACAATAATTTAATTTAGTTTTCCATTAGATGCATTTTTTAACTTATATTATACTTTTTAAAAAAAAACTTACGGAGTTACTTATACATATTTTACTTATGAAGTCTGGAATTTTTTGTTTCCTTTGCAACTTTCTTGGACTGCAACTGAGGTAGATTGTAATAATATTTCTGTATCATTTAAATTGCTTTGCCGGGGATTTAGCTCAGTGGTTCTGCCGCCTGCCTTGCAAGCGGCAGGACCTGAGTTTGATCCCAGGTACCCCCCCCAATAAATAAATAAATTGCTTCATTGTGTAAGTAAAAGAAAATCTGACTTAATAAAATGATTTATTTTGTTGAATGTAAATGGAATTTCCTAGCATGGATTGCTTTGAGCAAGGGGGTGTGTCACCGGTGCTGTCTGCCTTCATCTTGAGTCTCTGTGGTCCCTGTGAAGCTTTATTAAATTAGAGGTGTGTGTGTGTGTGTGTGTTGTTATGTATGTGTGTTTGTAGAGTGCAAGAGAGTGAGAGAGAGAGCAAGACAAGAACAGAAGGAGGACGAAGGGGGATGGGGAAGAAGAGGAAGAGGAAGGAGGAAAGAGGAAAAAAGTGGAGGAAAAAACATGAAGTTGCTGTGAATGCCACCCTTAGAGTCAGAAAGTCAGAGTTTAATTAGACCAATGGAACCTATCAATTGGAAATGTGAAATTAACTTCTGAAATTAACTTCCTTAACATTGTATTATAATGTAAACTTACTGTCTCGGGAAAATAATGGATGACAGAACTGAAAAATAAACTCAGGTTTTACTTTACTGTTTAAGGGAGAAAGATAAAGTGTGAAATATATCTCCAGGTAAGAAATTTAGAGTGATAAATCACCCAAAGGCCGGGAGAATGCCTAATCCACATGGAGACTTGTACTGGCTACTGTTATTGTCAAGAAATTTATCATCTTGTCATACAAGGTTAAAACTGTTGGTCTATCTATTGAGATCATATTATGTACTAAATTTTCAAAAATTTTAGGTAAATTTCACATGAACAACAAAGAATGTAGTTTTACTTATACATAACAGGTATCCAATAAATGCTGGCTAATGGAATAAATATAATATTGACAGGCTGGTCACCTGTTCTGAGGAAAATTTCCACTTCTTTCGCTACAACTTAAAAATAACTATTACTAGGGCCAGGGATTTAGCTCAGTGGTTTCACCACTTGCTGCGCAAGCGCAAGGACCCGAGTTCCGTCCCTGGTACCAAAACCCTCCCCCCAAAACCCTAACCCTAAACTGAATCACCATGATGGTGGAAAAAGCTGACGATGACATTGACAGTTGGATTTCACTTTTACTAAATATGTGATCTGGGGACATTTGGCTCTTCTAAACTGCAGTTTCCTACTGTGAGGATAACAAATCAAGTGTTATAATGGGAATTTAATCAGATAACATTGACAAAAAATTCTGTCAATGGTATTAAAAAAAGTAAGAGACTATCACCTGAAAGCACTCTGATGCAACTGAATTGTACCAGGAATTTGGGTTGAGAGATAATTTGGTCTGGAAGCCTATCCTACTTACTTAGAATTACCTTTTTAAATATAAATCTGATAACATCCCACTACAATGTTTCCCTATGATCACAAAACAAAGTCAAAATTCTTATCTTCAGTCTGACCTGAAGGAGTGACTACCTTGGGTCCTTGTTTCACTGAACAAGGAAATTAAAACTAAAATGACAGTAAGAGTTTACAGGCAAAAAAGCTGTAACTGGAAGGTGAGATAAGAAAGGACTCCAGCTTGAGTAGCTGGAGGGGGTCCATTCTGATGATCAGATTGGCCCACTCACAAAAGCAAGAGGGCAGGTTTTAAAGCTTACCTGGGGTAGGCAAGGGTCTGGTCCAGAGGCAGCAAACCTATGTGCCCCAGTGGGCTGTTGGTATCATTTAAAGCTCTAAAAGGTTCACCATCACTGGTCTAGTGGATTATAAATCCTCATAGCTTGAGGGTGATTTGGCTTCCATAAGATAAATCCTTATGATTTGGGGCAGTCTTGGCCATTTAAGGCTCTTCTGGAATCCAAAGGAACCACAAATTTAAGGCTCTGGGGATTTTGGGGTGTAGGTGTTCAAGGGTGATAAGCTAAGTAAATTTAGGGTTAATAAAGCTTATTTTGCCAACTTTTAGACATTTCATAAATCACTAACAGGGCTGTATGTTGAGCTGAGGATCTGTCCCAGTTTTACAAAACACAGATCAAGCTTTGTTTTACTTTTAGTTACCTATTGGACATCTGTAGGTCTAAGTAAAGAGTCAGAGGTTTTTTGTTTTTTTAAGCAAAAACTGCTTTTTAAATCCCTAAAAAGAAAACACAGATTATGCTTGTAATGAGTGACTGGTGAAGAGCCCAGGGGTGAGTTTGGACCCCTTGTCAGGATTATTACCGTCCACTTCTATATACAGCATTTACCAGGCTGCGATATATTTATAATCTACTCAGGGTCCTCCTAGTAAATTTTGAGTTTCAGAAGAAGTGAGGTTCAAGGTGGGACTTTCAAGAAGGCAGCAAGCACTGTACCCTGGAATCACATCCTTTCTTCCTAAGAATTTCTTGTGCTGTGCTGTTAACACTCGAACACACATCCATACCCAGACGATAAAGTTTTTAATACGAAAGATATTTTCATCTTCCCCTGCCGAAATGGTCCACCAGTTACATTCAGCTTAATCGCATTCGTGTCACCCTTCGGCTGTGCGTTCCCTGAGTGGGGATCCCATTTTACCGTCGTTCGATAGTTCTTATAATCTGGGACAGCATAAGCGCCTCACACGGCCAATAATTATAGTTTCTTTAAATCAGTACACTAGAAGCGACAAGAGCCTGGCGGACATAGGAAAGCAGGTAGTGGGGACGCCAAGCACAGCAGGTGTTTCAGGAACAGCCCTCCGTGGTGGAGGAAGGGGGTCAGGAAAGGGGTGGGATTGGCCCAGGAAGAACCTGCTCTGACATAATCTGGAAATCTCAGGTGATCCTCCCTGGCTGACACCATCCGTCTTTCGACCCAGTCGCCCTCTCTTTAGAGTGACTCATCCGGCTTTCCGTTTTCTACTCGAGGGGAGGGGTAGAATTTCCTTTTATCTCTGAGGAACTTCCGGTGAAAGCTGATGGGTGAAAAACAAGTTGATACATGGCACTGCCAGCCACTCAGGGCAAAAAGTAGGAACTCAAATTGGATTTTACTAAAGTAGTTGGGAGACCTTGTTTTTCAAATTGCGGTATCCTGCGCTCCATTCACCACAGAGACCTTGGGAACCGCCGGAAGTCTCTCAACGGAGAGACAGGAAGTCCCGCCTCTTCCTCCCAAAGGGAAGACGGTGAGCCGGAGGAGTCAGTCAGAGGGGCGAGCAGGAACGATTCCGTGGGCAAACAGGTAAGTTATTCTCTGGTGGGGAGGGGGGTCTGGAGGCGGGGACCGTCCAGCGTCAGCGCGGGGCCTGGGGGCGGTGGCTTGAAGGCCCGGAGCCGGGCAGCTAGACGCCCAGAGTCCCGTCAGGGCCCTTCGCTCTTTCTCCTCCCCCCTCCCCCCGCCTCCGCCCCTTCCTGCTCGCTTTTCCCTCCGATACCCGCCCAGACTCAATCCCGGACACACGCCCTCGCTCGCTACCTCTCACACGCCGCTTCGCTGGCCACAGTCCTGTCTCGGTGCCCCCGCCGCGTCCGTGCGCTTCCACTTGCTCGCTCAGCAGGCCAGCCCCGAGGGCAGCCTCGCGTCCCGGCGTCCGCGGGCTAGCGCTCTCGAGGGCCCCCCTGGGCAACGGTCCCGGCGGGCCTCGGCTTCCCCTGCCGCACCCTCTGCCAGCGCAAAAATAGCCCCTTGTCTGCGTCCTCCGTGCGCACCCCTGCCCCTAAATCGGGGCCGTTCTTGCCTGCTTGGAAGAAGCACTCCGCTGACTGTGAAGCTGCCAGGATTTAAGTTTATAGTTCCCAGCCCACCCACTCGGGTGTCACTCCCAAGTTCCCCAGCTGCATAGCTGCCACTCGCATCGCCTTCGGTTAAGCGGCGCTAGTGTGGGCGGGTGGTCGCGCGGGCGGGTGACTGAGAGCACAGCGTCTGAAAGTGAAGAGCCTCAGCCCCTCGAGATTTCACTGGGCTCTGCACAGCTGCAAGGAGACCCAGGCTGCTGGACACCTGGCAGCAGAGGGTGTTCGTCTACGACCTCCTCTAACCAGCTAGCGTGTTCCGAGTGCGCTTGCCCTCTTTCTGGACTTTAGTCTGTGTAGATTAGTGACAATAGCTGGTGACCCCCGTCGTTTGTGTAGGGTTTTGAGTGGTCTATTTGCATATTTCATTCAATAGTTCTGGAATAGGACATGTTGGCAAGGTGGAGTCCCTGAACACACAAATGGGATTGTTTTATAGACAGTCATAGTTTAATAGCGATATGTTACAACTTTACGGTCTATGCCTTGTGGGAGTAGAACATTATGTGTCTGTTTTGTGGTGAGAGGTGTTAGTCTAGTTCGAACACAGTATAGGGAAGGGGACTAATAGTGACTAGAAGAGCTCATGTGTCATATGACATACTCTGTATATACTGCTGTACTACACATAGCACAGCAACCTCCTTTAGTAGGAATTATTCTAATTTTACAAACTGAGGCCCAGGTTAAATAGCTTGATCAAAATTAGTGTTGAGACCCAAATCTCAAATGTTTGTTGCTCATTCTTTTTTCATGTTTGTTGCAAGCAAAATTACTGACTCCAACCACAAAGCAAAGCTGTCTAGTAGCTTATGTCTTCTTGCATGATGTGTGGTAGGTGTGAAAATTGCTGATAAGAGTTACTCCTGGTGCCTTTAAAAATGTTTATTTTGGAATATTTTCAGATTTACAGAAAAGTTGGATCATAAGAGTTGCACTGGCACCTTTTAAAGCAAAACAGAGTGGTTCCATTTCAAAAATATTGGTTCTTGCTTTATGCCAAACACCATCCTAGGTGCTAGAGATAGTAACATACTTCCTTAGATGATTTTGAGATCTGGTTGAGGAGGCAGATACATTAATAAATATATATTTTCCAGTACCAAAATAGAGATACATGAGTACAGAGGAAATTATAGCTAACTTCCTGGCAGGGAGTGGTAAAAGTTTCTTGCAGGAAATAGTATTTGAGTTAGGTTTCAAGGTTCTGTGGGCATTCCTTTGGTCAAGGAGAGATTTCCTCAACATTCATTCTAATTAGACTTGTTTTTATTGCAGGAGAATTCTCACTTTAATGAAGTAGATTTCTAATTTGGTTCTTCTCTTAGCAGGAGGATTGTAAGTTTGAGCCCAGTCTGGGCAACTTAGTGATTTAGCAAGATCCTGTATCAAAATAAAAAATGATGTAGCTTGTGCAAAGACCCTGGGTTCCATCCACAGGGGAAAAAAAAAGAAAAGAAAAAAAGTGATTTGTTTCTCAGGTGGTGAGAAGAATCCCTAGTTGGTAAATCTGTGAAAAGAGTAAATTCATTTATATAGTTCTAATTGGTTCCTTGACACACTTGGCAGGAGTTGACATTGGGTATTTAGGAATACAAGGTGGCCCTCCACTGAAAGTATTCTTTTTCAACTTTGATTACTATTGGGAGTATATAATTCATTCACAAAACATTTATTTCTTTCTTGCTTTGTGCTACCCATTTTACTAGGGTAAATCAGTGAACTGGATAGCAGGGAGTATAGCCAGTAAATGCCATTGACTGTACAATCTGATGTTAGTGCAGTATAGTAGGGGGACACAATATCACAGTGCTACTCATGATTCTTGGTTGTCAACTGTGCAAGAGGACTCTGGCTGACTTAAGCAGAAAAGAAACTTACTGGAAAACTATAGCCAGCTTTCAGAATTGATGGGAAGACTGGAGAAGTGGGCTTGAAAAATGGATAGGAGCCAAAAAAAAATCTGGGTGGTTGATGTCACAGCCTAGGTCATATCCTGTACATTGTCTGGTGAGAATATTGCTTCTGGCAACACAGCCACTGGAGAAACTGCCACCTTTGTTGTTAGACCGTTGACTCTCTTCTGACACTGGGAAAATCTCTTGACTGTGACATTTTTTTTCTCATGTTTAAAGTTATAGATGGGAACATGAGATTAGCTAAACCATTCTAGCTTTTAAGGAGCAGAAAGAGTAGTTGTTCTGTCTGACTTATATTTCAGAAAGACCTGCATTGTGAAGGATTCCTTCAGAATAAGAAGGTATTTTGAGTTCCGGCAACTGCCTCGAAAGTGCAAGGACCTGAGTTCGATCCTCGGTACCAAAAAAAAAAGGCAGCTTGACATCTACATAGCCCTAAAAGCAAAAACATTCAATCATTTAACCTGGATTTGGAGCAATTAGGGAGAAATGCCATAATATCCAAAGAATGAGTAGGAGCCAGCTGGGCAAATAGATGAAGAGAGGATGGGAAGTAAAGTTTCAGGTAGAAGATATATAGGCATCAAGAAGTAACATGGAATATTTCAGGAGTTAAAAGGTGTTTAGGGTAGCTAGATCATGGACTATGTAGAGATGTGAAAGAAGACTGGAGAGGCCTCTTTGAAGAATGTGCGTACCATGTTGGCATTTCTGAGTGTTTTGTCATTTCAACTACTTTTGTTGCAACTCTTCAGACCTATTGGAGAAGAGTAAGCATGGAGTAAAGAGACCTTTGCGGGCTGTTGCATTTTTTCTAAATGAGATATGGATAGTTCTAAATGAACAAAAATTGTGGCATGAGAGGTAGGAAAAGGGGATGGATTGTATGTGTTCAGTTAGTACAGTGAATTTGGTAACAGAATGGGTGAGAAGCGAGATGCAGGAGTTAAGACACCAGGGATCTGCTCTAGGCAACTGGGTAGATCCTAGTGTCCAGCTATAGAATGGGCAGCAGTGGAAGGTGTGCAGGTGCTTGGGGAAGATAATTGTATTAGTCATCTTTCCTGTTGCTGAAACATAATTCCTGACTCCTACATCTTAAACGAGGAAAGATTTAACTCACAGTTTAGGAGATTCAGTAGATAGTGGTCAGGCTCTGTGGGTGGAACCTTATGGTAGAAGGGCATGGTGTAGCAAAGCTGCTTAGTTTATGGTGGCCAGGAAGCAAAGCAGAGAAACAGTGCAGAGAGGAATTGACGAGGGGCCATATGTAATACCCAAGACCTTGTCTCCACATACCTTCAGGAGTGTGCTTTACTAATCTAGGCATTTAAAAACATGAAAAAAAAATTTTTTTTTTGGTGTTTTGAGGCAGGGTCTCCCTTTGTGGTTCAGGCTGGCCCTGAACTCACTATGTAGCCCAGACTGACCTTGAACTTGCAGCGATCCTCCTGCCACAGCCTCCCGAGTGCTGTGATCACAGGCATGCACCACCATGCCAGGCTTGCTAGGCATTTCTTAATCCAGTGAAGCTGACGTATGTATCATGATTAATGGTCACCATCCATCCCTTGTCAGCTTTACACCCAAAAGCATTTCCTTAAACCATACTTAATCTCCAAATAAAGACAAGCAAGGCATGATTCTTCGTAATGCAATAGCACTATTCCATGTACAACCAGAAATGCAATAATTTCCCAAAGCCTCAACAGGTCCAGCATTTTTCAGAAGTTCAAGTCTGAGTTTTCTTCTGAGACTCAAGGCTATCTCTTAGCTATGAATCTCTCCAGAAATAAAAAAGAAGTTACATAATCCCAAGGTACGTTATCACAGGGTAAACTACAATTCCAAAAGTTAGGAATGGAGGATAGAAAAGCAAGACTGAAACATGGAAGCAAAGTGGTAACAGTGCCAAAGAGGAATAGGTGAGGACCGTATATAGCACCCAAGGCCACCCAAATACACCCAGGATCATGTTCTACTAATCTGCTAGGCATTTCTTAATCCAGTAAAGTTGACATATCAGGAGTAGTGGTCACAATGATTTCAATATGGGTTCATTTCAGTGGAGATAATGGAGTAGACAGTTGTATACAGGAGTGTAAATTCCAGAGGACCATAGCCTCAGTTCCATCGTGTATATATGTGTGTGTGAATGCAAATGTATATCACTCTCCTTCACCAGATTATAGCAAGTGTATTATACTTTACACCCCATGGGTCCTTAGCATGTTGTCTTGTGCATAGAGAGTTGTTGATAAATACTTATAGAACTTAATTTACAAGATACTGGCTTTAGGAGTGCGAAAAGTACAGAGAGAAAGGAAAGAGTTATATGTATATAAGATTGTGTCTATGTGTAATACATGCAGACATACACATAAGTACATATATACATGTGTGTCTTGACTTTCTTGCTGCACTGGTGGTGTCCAAAACTCTTGAATGTATTTTTTGAAAAAGATTTATATTCTTATCATTATTCTTCTGTGGCTGTAATATCTTGCTAATGGTAATTATATACGTAGATCATGATTATGAGAACTGTTTGATTAGCAATTCCAACCACCTGGACTATTAACCCAGAAATAGACCTGCAAGAGGCAGGCAGATGTTGATGGCAATGTTGGAGTATAAAGGAATTAGTTGATAGATTAATTTTAATAAATAAAATTCAGAACTAAAATTTAGTTCTGGAAGGAGAACCTTTTGGGGGAGAAAATAGAGATGTGAACTAGTTTCTGATGTTATTTTTGCTAGGTTTTTCAATTTGAGTATTATTGCTTTCATTCAACGATTAGTTTCCAGATATAATGTTCTCCTCTTAACAATTTGGTTCCTGTGAGTATAGTCTAGAAAACTGGAAGTTTTATAAATAATAGGAACTCACTACTAAGGAACAGGGAAAGGCAATAAACTCAGAAATCAATGGAAATAATGTTTCTGAATTCTTAGTTTGTATAAACATTGTGCATGATCTTATTTAATCTCTAGAGATCATTTTAGATATGTACTATATTTTACCCATTTATGGAAAACTCAACTTGGAATGAATAGTTTTTACAAGGTCATGCAACCCTCAAATCACAGAACCAGCATTTGAACCAAAGCAGCCTGACTGCAGAGCCCATGTTTTTAGTCACTGAGCTTTACTGCCTTACACGATGCTTATAATCATTCATTCAGCAATTAAATATTGTAATGTATTAACGTGTGGTGTTGTCTGTAAGTTATTCAGGGCGCAGTTAAGGATGAGATAAACATATTGCCCTCATAGAGGTTACAGTCTTGTTGGGAAACACATGTTGCAATTTTCAAAATCTCATCAGCAAGTAATGTAAACATTGTATACTGCAAACATGTACAAAAAAAAGGAGACCAGAAGACGGATGGGGGCATGGAAGGATAAGGGGATAAAAAGGAATTAAGATGTATTATGCATATGTACCCACTCCCCACAAGAAATGTAAACATTATGTATTACAAATACTAATAAAGAAAATTTCTGAAAACTCATTAGGCTCCAGCATATTTACATGTCCACGTTGGATGTTAAATAAATATAAGTTTAGATAAATTAAAAAAGAGTAAAGGGGAAAATAAGATTGGTCATTTATGTGGTGAAAAAACTAGTGCCCTAGGTTATTCTGTTTTCTAGTGTACCCAATCATGGGCTTTTATTGAAAAATTATAATTTATTTATTTCAGTTTAATTACAGTTTTTGAGATTACAATTGTTGAGATTTTTAAGGCACAATTGTTGGAGAAGCTAGCATATTTTTATGTTAGACTCAATTTGTGATCTCTCATACTTATTTATCTTTCATCTGAATTGACTGTGTGTGTGTGGTTGTTATTGTTGCTTTTTCTCTCTTTATTTTTATTTTTATTTTTTTTTGAGGCAGGGTCTTGCCTTGTAATTTAGGCTTGCCTTCATCACTATGTTGCCCAGGCTGGCCATGAACTTGTGGCGATCCTCCTGCCTCAGCCTCCTGAGTGCTGGTATTACAGGTATGTGGCACCACACCCAGTTTGAAATGACTTTTAAAAACTTTTTACTTGGAAATAATTTTAGAGTTATAAAACAATTACAATAGTAGTCTAGAGAGTTCCTGTGGTATCTTTCTCCCAGTGTTCCCTGTTGTTAACATCTTATGTATCCATAATGCAGTTATGGAAACCAGGCAATCGATACAGCTAAAGACATTGAATTTCATGACTTGTCCTACTGATATGGCCTTTCTGGTTCAGTATCCAGTCCAAGATCTCACATTCCATTTAGTTGCCATGTTTCCTTTGTCTTTTCCAATCTGTGATAGTTCGTTTTAGATTTCTTTGTATTTCATGCCTTTGATACTTGTCTTAGTTACCTTTTTTGTTACTGAGACAAAATACCTGACATCCAAAATTAAAAGAGGAAAGGTTTATTTCAGTTCACAGTTTATAGAGGTTTTGGTCCATAGTTAGCTGGTCCCAGGCAGGGTGGCATGGCAGAGGGGTATCGCAGAGCAGGCAGGAGGCAGCAGCAGCAGCACAAGCCTACCTGCCTTCTCTCCCTTTATATTCATTACAAGGTAATGAATATTTAAGTACCCTATTGCTTGTTCATTTGGTCATCCTTACAGCTGGGCAGGAAGTATATTCATTTTGTAGATCATATGAGTGACATTGCTGCATGGATTTTTATATATATACATAGTTATGTATATGTTATATATTGTTATATGTACTTATATACAATGTAATATATACATATAAATTATCTTGGTAATATACATATAATAGTTACTATATATAATGCCAAAGTATGTATGTCTTTCATATCCCAACCAGAGAAACAAGACGAAATATATTTGGGCTGTTACCTTCAAAAGTGTGTAAGATCCTTTGAGGCACAGAACAGATCTCTTTTTGTCAGTGACTTGCTTGGTTCCTGGCACACTCAAGGCACTCAATATTTGATGAGTAAATGAGTATTGTACATGCATTCTGTTAACTGCTTTTATAAGTTACTTGAATATGATACATGTCTTTTCATAAGAATGTAGATCTGTATCATCTACACAACATTCAAATGTATGGATGTGCCATGGTTGCTTTATCTGTTCTGCCCCCATTGTTGGATAGTAGAGTGTTTCCA